TGTATGGAGAACATGGGATAATTAACTGTTTAATTGATAAATTAGAAATTTTTTCAAAGTTTTAGGGTAATATCTTCAACTAGATACGAATTGTAGTTATTTGACGTATCGTTGAAAAAAGTAGGTCAAGTTAGAGCAAAGAAAATAAGTGATAGTCACAAAAAAATATCTTCTCAGCTTTACATCGAAGCTAAAACTTAAAATATAGTAAAATAATTTTAATATTCTTCTCGCGAGTGGCGACTACAGTGATGGGATCTTTATTGAAGTTATTGAATCTAAATGAGATAAAAATCAAAGCAGTTGAAAGTTTATTCTAACTTAAAAAGAATTAAGAAAAAATGCAAAGAATTCCTTGCTATAAGCGGGTTGGAACCTTGTACCCCAAGCGCGTAAAACACAAATGTTACCGTCTCGGCAACCGTACGTCGCTTCCATCAACTGAAAAAATGGAAATTTAAGCTAGTTCTAATTTTAAAGAGTCTTTTTTTCGACTACAAAAAAGCAAGAAAATTTTAATAAATTTAACTTTCTATGCTATATCAATTTTATTTATATAATATTTATAAAAATCTGTGTACACCCCTTGTCAGGTATTTAAAAATAAAATAAAATATAAAACCCAGAATTTTAACACAAAAATAGCATAATTTTGAATGCGGTAGTCATTTTTACCATAATGACAAATCCAGAGGTCAAATTTTTTTTCTTCAAAATTTAGCTTCGCATCGAAGCTAAAAAACAATATAAATAACGTAAACAGTAATTACGTTATTCCTACAAACAAATAGAAATATCATAACTTTTTTGTACACTATTAATAGTTAATAAAATTTTTTACTTCTTTTCCTTTGGCTTACATTCAACTGTTTTGTTTTCCAATATTTTGCCAACTTTACACTCGGTTATTTCAATGACATCATATTCTTGAATGAATTCACCCAACGATGTAAGTTGGTTGATCAAAGGTTGTCCACGGTGGAATAACATTATTCGATCTACTGGAATGCCACTTAATTTAACGCATTTAGCTGTAAGTTCATCCACTCTAGTCTTATTTAGAATATTTAAAATAAACTTTTGATTGGTTTTATAATAAATCACTTTAATTTTCATTTTTTCTTTTTATAGATAACTCGATTTATAGTAAAAATTATTAATAATTTCCATAAGAAATAAAAATTTAAAAAAAAAAGTGATCATAACAGTAAATTAAAAATAATAATATTAATATTATCTACAGTACGTTACCTATAGTTACACGTTACTTGTATCATTTTTAGTATCAATTTTCTCACACTCAGTGAACTAAGCACAATAGTCAGAAATAACTATTAAAAGACGGATTCACACCTTAAAATATTTTGTTTTACGAACAACACTATTATTAAATTAATTGTAATTAGGACCGGTTTACGTAAAATAAGAGGTGAAACTAAACTAACAACAACTGTTTAATTTAAAACATTGGGCTAAGCTACTTATGTTTTTTAAAAGTCTTGAAAGGTTATAGTTAATGTGAAATGCCAAGGTGAAATTAAGGCCAGCGCTAGAAATCGTGAGGCTTCGTGCAAAATAATTTTTATCTAGCACCAAAAAAATCAATATTCATATCCAAATTCGTGTTTTTTTATTTACAATAGAGAATAATTTTGTCAACAGTTAAATGTATAACAGGGTATATCTGTTCGATAGAATATAATAAAAAGTTAAATCAAGAATAATCTTATTATATAATATAACAAGTAAAAATACGCTTTTCTATAATAATTATTTAGCGTGCTCGGATTTTTTAAATTTTTTTTTTCAACGAAAGTACTCGCCCACGAGCGTTTTAAAATTATACCGTTTTCGAGAAAAACGCTAGCCGACGACAGAGTTTCACGACTTAAGGTTTGAATTTTTTTTATTTTTTGCCCTTAATATAAAAAATAGCTCCGGCATCCGTGTATAAGTCTTTGATTTTATCGTAAAAGTTAGGATTCATCTATGACAACTATGCTGTCCAACATCAAATCATTGTAACCAATATTCTTATCAAAATTGAATTTTTGTCAGGAAAAATAACCTGCCGAATTTTTTTTGTAATTATTATATAATATTAATACAGTTATTATAATTAGAATATTAATAATTTTATGTATACTAGGTGCGTATTTAAGGAGGATATGGGCGATTGCCCTTTTGAACCAGCGCTATCAATATTTTTTTAGAAAACTTCTAAGAAATAAAGACCTAATTACCTTTTTTTTTTCATCACTTTGATTTTTAGCAAGAAAATTCTATAGCATGTTTACCAAAATAAAATAATTAAAAACCCTTCAAAAAATTGTCTGAATACACCCAAAGGGAATACTTCATTAACAAGCGTCAATCTTATACAATTAACTATATTTTCTTTTTAAATTTTCTTGATATTAATAATAAAATTATTAATATATATTTTTTT